CGTCCAAAGAACAAGCCATTCAAAAGAACAGTTCCCGTTAAAAGAACAAGCCATTCAAAAGAACAGTTCCCGTTAAAAGAACAAGCCATTCAAAAGACCAGTGTCCGTTAAAAGAACAAGCCATTCAAAAGACCAGTTCCCGTCCAAAGAACAAGCCATTCAAAAGAACAGTTCCCGTCCAAAGAACAAGCCATTCAAGAATTAAAAGAACAAGCCATTCAAAAGACTGACATTTCTCGGGTCGCGACCTTGTGACATCGGTTCACGTGCACCCACCAGATTGACTAAAAGCATTTAATGACTCTGCCACATTAAACCAATCTATTCCGTTGCCTTATCGGGCTGTTTCTGTCATGTGACCCAAAGCAGCTGTTGGCTCACGGTATGTCGACAAGGTTCACTGGTACGAGTAACGATTACGACATAAAGAATGCAATTTGAACATAAAACGGGTGTTTTTATTTTAAATTAACCTAAATTTTATCTCTAAAAAACGTAAATCATATTATCTAAATTGATGACGATCCTTACATACGCTTTCGACTTGACAACACATGACCAAGGTACGGCCATGTAACGAGTCATTCAAAAGACCAGTTCCCGTCCAAAGAACAAGCCATTCAAAAGAACAGTTCCCGTCCAAAGAACAAGCCATTCAAAAGAACAGTTCCCGTTAAAAGAACAAGCCATTCAAAAGAACAGTTCCCGTTAAAAGAACAAGCCATTCAAAAGACCAGTGTCCGTTAAAAGAACAAGCCATTCAAAAGACCAGTTCCCGTCCAAAGAACAAGCCATTCAAAGGAACAGTTCCCGTCCAAAGAACAAGCCATTCAAAAGACCAGTTCCTGTCCAAAGAACAAGCCATTCAAAAGACCAGTTCCCGTCCAAAGAACAAGCCATTCAAAAGAACAGTTCCCGTCCAAAGAACAAGCCATTTAAAAGAACAGTTCCCGTTAAAAGAACAAGCCATTCAAAAGACCAGTGTCCGTTAAAAGAACAAGCCATTCAAAAGACCAGTTCCCGTCTAAAGAACAAGCTATTCAAAAGACTTATTCCGTCCAAAGAACAAGCCATTCAAAAGACCAGTTCCCGTCTAAAGAACAAGCCATTCAAAAGACACATTCACGTCCAAAGAACAAGCCATTCAAAAGACCAGTTCCCGTCTAAAGAAAAAGCTATTCAAAAGACTTATTCCGTCCAAAGAACAAGCCATTCAAAAGACCAGTTACCGCCCAAAGAACAAGCCATTCAAAAAACTTATTCCGTCCAAAGAACAAGCCATTCAAAAGACCTTTTCCGGTCCAAAGAACAAGTCATTCAAAAGAACCAGTTCCCGTTTAAAGAACAAGTCATTCAAAAGACCAGCTCCCGTCCAAAGAACAAGCCATTCAAAAGACCAATTTTCGTCCAAAGAACACGCCATTCAAAAGACCAGCTCTCATCTAAAAAACAAGTGGGTCCATTAGACTTCCGAAGATGTGGCCACAAGTTGCCACCAGGAAACACGAACAAAAAGGAAGTTAATAAATTTAAATTAAAAAAAAAAGTTTACTTCAGTGAGTTCAAGAATCCCAGCAGATTATTGATTGTTATTTCATATAAGATGGCGTGTATAACAGGAGAGAGCTTGCCTCAAATGATCCAATGGACGGTTTAGGTATAAAGCTCACCAAACATTAAGATTAGATAAGATGAGATAAGATAAGATGCTTTTTAAAATATCCAAAATAAATGGATATACGTTTTGTTTTTATCGTACATGTGGTAACTGTAGTAAAAGTGAAATTGTTACTTATTGATGTCACAGTCAAACTGTTTCTAATTGATGTCACAGTCAAACTGTTTCTAACTGAAGTCACAGTCAAACTTTTTCTATAACTGAATTCACAGTCAAACTGTTTCTAACTGAATTCACAGTCAAATGTTTCTTATTGAAGTCACAGTCAAACTGTTTCTAACTGAAGTCACAGTCAAACTGTTTCTAACTGAAGTCACAGTCAAACTGTTTCTAACTGAAGTCACAGTCAAACTGTTTCTAACTGAAGTCACAGTCAAACTGTTTCTAACTGAAGTCACAGTCAAACTGTTTCTAACTGAAGTCACAGTCAAACTGTTTCTAACTGAAGTCACAGTCAAACTGTTTCTAACTGAAGTCACAGTCAAACTGTTTCTAACTGAAGTCACAGTCAAACTGTTTCTAACTGAAGTCACAGTCAAACTGTTTCTAACTGAAGTCACAGTCAAACTGTTTCTAGCTGAAGTCACAGTCAAACTGTTTCTAACTGAAGTTACGGCCAAAAGTAATTTATTTTTATTTAAAAACATTTACTATAATAAGTGTAATAATAAAATTAATTTCTGAGTTTGCATTTGTTTGATGTCACAGTTAAGAGCCACGTACAATTTGAATAAATGTTTCAGAAGAGATAAAGTGCTTGCATTGTGACCGTCGCTTACTTTCCCTTAG